TAAAACAACTTGGAACTATTTTTCACAGTTTAATGCTGATATAACAAGGAATTAAATATTCTTAGTTAATAAATAAAAAAGCTAATGTCATCAGCTTTGGTATAATTGGAGACAGTCTGCATTATTGAATACACAAAAACAATAGCTCCCATTAAACCCATGACAGTGTTGACTTTACCTGTTCACTAGAAAAGTATCCATGAACATATTCAATAGCTTTTAATTTGTACTCAGTCAATACAGCCTAAAAGATACAGAAAAAGAAGTTATACAATTAGTTGCCCAAAAAGTATAATTATAGCACAATCATCTACTAATCTCTTAATCTAAAAATTTCTGCCCTTACAAAGTGGCATTTGCATCAATCACACCACAGCATTCTGAAGTAACAGTATATTCCTTAGATAATTGAGAATGGTGAAAAACAGAAAAAGACTTCATATTTTTTTTTTATTGTCATTTATAACTGTGCTGAGAGAACATCATCATCATCATCATCACTCTTCTTTTTGCCCCAAAGCTTTATATCAATTTTATGAAGGGACTGGATAACAAGTCTGTATAGAAAGAATTAAGATTATAGCAAAGCTTGCTCCAGAGGTGAATGATGTCTTATCATTACCTTTCAGATTTCTAACTTTAACATGCAACCACACAAAACAAACAAAGTGCAGTACTTTGATGCAGCACTTTTAACTTTGTGGCAAGACAGTTCTGTTGATAACCATGTGAGCTATCTAATAGCCAGGACTTCCTTCCTCTCCTCATACCCAGTCACTGAGATGGGTACAAGATGTAAAGAAGACAGGTGACAGCTGAATTCCTGCCCAAATTGGTCCAAACACCTTTCTTCCTTAGTTTTCAAGTCTCCATCTATTGCTAGATCTCATGCATATTCTCAAACCACCTTTAGCTTCACCCCCACATCCATTTCTATCTGCTTCCCACTAGCCCTAAAATCTACTCTAAATTTTTTTGTTTCCGTCCCTTCACACAGACAGATGTGAAGGTCTTCACTGCAATCTGACTGTGAGTAGCACAGGTGCACGGAAACTCACTTGGATACTGTTTGAGGCAACTCTTTTCCTTTCTGTACCTTATTAAGAAATAAACACTACCAGACACACTGAAGTCACAGAGGGAAAAGAATTTCTCTCTTCATGCTCATTTTTTCTTCTGTCTCTTCCTTTTCCATGTATTTTGGAAAAGAGCGTGGTATGTCATATTTTTTACCAAAACAAATGTTACTTTTCTTTCCTAAATCAACAACTGAATGACTTTGTAATAAGAACACAAACAGAAACTACTGCTATGTATATTTATGGAAGAAACAAACAAAATCCCCAAAGTTTATTTTGCTAATAATTATAAATATGGGGAAAATAATACTAAGCTACACAAGACGACATTTAAATAATTGTTCCTCCTAATTGTAGGACTGAGAATGGAACATACTAGCACAACTAACTTATGAATCACAAATAAAAAACGTTCTACCACAGAGCTAGAAACAAAGCTTAGACAAAAACACAGCAGCAAAGACACAAAATCAGCATTTGGGCAATGTTACACTGCAACAGCACAGCTATTATTAACACAGCACAGCACTGATCCTTAGATCAACTGCAAGTTGGGTTTACAGGAATACAGGCAGATAGCATAGAGGAAACATAATTGCCTAAAATCACATGTCAAAACCCTTTTGTCTGAAGTCTTTAGTAATCACGGAGCGTATTCTGAAGGACTGCACTGCAGTAGCAATAATTGAAACGTTACTCCTTCCCACCATGAATTCTCACAGAAAGCATTCATGTGCAAGTTGTTCCTTAATTATTTTTTTTTTGTTCCCAGATTTTCCACACAAAATTTTAACCAAGAGGGAAGTCCACACCCTCAAATATCTTATTAGGCTGTCATGTTTTTAGCTGGTTATACATATACCTATTTTATAAGGGAGAATTTATGACCGTGACCTTATACAAAAATGCTAGTAAACGCAGATGTGATAAAAAAGACTCATCCCTGGGGCTTCTGTTGCACACTCATTTATACCTCACTATGTTGCAAAATAATAATAATGCAACTGCAGCCATCAACTGGGCCTCATGCTGAAGAGAAACTGAACTGCAACTCAACTCTAGTACCCAAGTCCAAAGGAAATGTACGTTTCCTAGACAATCCAACATAACAAAAAAAGCCCACTTCTTACAAAAATGCTAAGGATCCCTTTTCTGCCATGAGGCAATCTTATCTGAAACAAGCCCTTCATTTTCACACCAAGACAGCTTTAGAAGGATACATAAAACAAAATACATTGTTACAGACTTCTACTTCCCATGCAAACCAGGAAAAATTAATCTCAGAGGTTCTGATTTTTTTCTCTCTCTTTTTCCACCTCCAGCGTTTCGGTAACTATGCCAACCACTAACCTTTAGCTTTCCTATTAAATGCAGGCCTCAGTGCAGAGAAAGAGACCTGCCAGACACCAGGAAGCCCAGGTTTGTATCTCTACTCCCCACAACTAGCAGGTATTTTGCTCCATTAGTTTTTAAAGAGGGGATGCAGAAGCACAGCTCGGAGCAAGCATCAAAACATAGGATTTACATCCTGGAGAAGCTGTGCAAACACCCTGAACCTGTGAGAGATGTGGCTTCCAAGGACTGCTCCGTGCAGCTTTGAAATCAGCTCTTATGTCCTATTTGTGCATTGTATCTCTTCATGGCTGGGCTTCGCAAACGAAGATTTGTAAAAGGTAGATACTTCACACTGTCTCGGGTCAGGCCAAGTAAATGCAACCCTTTTCCCCAAATAAGAGATACTTGGTTATTTTGGTTTGTCCTAGTTAGAACAGCTGGGACCAGTTCATCACTGGATGGGTGTAACCCAAAACTGTGTGTTCTATAGCCTTCCATGCCATTTCCCAGAAACTGTTACCAATGAACCATTTACACCATCAGCACAGAGCATACCTGACTCCTCAGGCTATAAACTAGGTGTTAAGAGGCCTGCGAGATAGGAGGGTGTTTCTGTCCTCACACCCATTGTGGAACCCCCTGCCCTGAGGGAGGTACTGGGCATTCCTGCCTGAACTGGAGGATATATAATCTTGGAGTCTTGGAACCTTTTTAACCACTCGTGGGATCCAGAGGAAGACTGCAGATCACCGCTCTCAACCAGACTGCAGACCACCACTCTCGACCGGACTGCAATCACCACTCTTGACCAGACTGCAACAGCACTCTCACCAACAGGTTTTCCCCTCTCCTTTCACTTTGGACTCAGGGGGCCCAACAAACACCACTCTGTTCATGCCCCAGGGTGCCGGGTTATACATTTGGGTTTTGTGGGTTAAAACCAGCTGTTTGTCTGCATAATCATACTTATTGTATTATTTTATTAAATTGTTATTCTGACTTATAATCTCTCTTTTGAGCTGGGTTCATTTCCCCTGCCAGTTTACCTTTAAACCAGCACATGGTTTTTGTTCCTCATCTTTCTTGACAGTGAAAATGCTGCAATAACTTTATTCAAGTGCTTATTTCAAATAGGGTTCTTGAAGCACACAATGTTAGTTCAATGGCACCAGTCTGGACATCCCGTATCAGTTTTATAAGACAATTAAAAAATTCTCAAAGCGAGGAAGCATGTCACAGCAGTTTTACACTGTTGCATCTGACACACAAAAACTGGAATACATCAGCAATACAGGATTCGTTCTTCACACGGTGGTGAAATTTAGTCTTTATTGAATCCTGAAGGGATTATCAAAGAACACAGAACCCCTCACCTCGTGTGTTCATCAAGAGGAACAGAATCACAGAATGTTAATGAGTTGGAAGGGGCCTTAAAAACCATCTAGTCCCAAGCCCCCTGCCATGGACAGGGACATCTGCCACTAGACCAGGTTGTTCAAGGCCTTATTCAGCTAGGCTTTGAACATTGCTAGGGTTCGAGCATCCACAAGCTCTCCAGACAACCTGTTCTAGTGTCTCACCACCCTCACAGTAAACAACTTCTTTCTAATATCTAACCTAAAGTTTCCCCACTTTCAATTTGTACCCCTTACTCCTTGTCCTACAGCCTATAATCAAATTATTAAACTAACATAATATAAAAAACGAGAAGTTATTACCTTCCTAATTTCATCCAGCACGGTTTCAAATGATTTCTTATCCATCTTGATTAGTTCATTCAATGCGTGGAGGAAATAAAAAACTAAATAAATTAAAAAAAAATTTAAAAAAGCGAACAAATCTGGTCTAAAGACTTAAGAGTCCTCAAGCATACAGAGAAAAAAAAAAAAAAAAAGAGAACGCAACAAAAAAAAATCTGGGCACTGAAGGCGGCCCGGGCTCTCCTCATCCGGACACAGAGACAAAGGCTCCCGCCGGGCGCAGCTCAGAACGCCCGTCACGGCGCGTCCCGGGGCCGCTCGGGCCGGCGGTGGGAGCGGGAGGGCGCGGGGCTCCGGGACGGATGGAGCGGCAGGGAGGGGCGGCAGCCGCGGCCGCTCGGCTCAACACGCGGCGCCGAGGCCCGGCCTGCCCGCGCCCGCCCGCGGGGCGCCCCCGCAGCGCATCGCCCTGCGACCCCGGCGGGCAGAGCCGGCGCGGCCCCGAGCGGCCCCTGGGGCAGGCGGGGAGGGCAGGGCAGGTGGGGTAGGCGGGGAAGGCGGCCCGGGAGCGGCGCGAACACACAGACAGGACACCCCCTCCGCCGGTCCCGCCTCCCGCCGTCGCGTCCCTATGGCATCACGGCGCGGACCGAGGGCCCTTTTCTACGCTGGCCGACGACACTGATGCCTGCGCAGGAGCGGCGGGGAGTCGCGGCGGGCTCGCCCCTCTCCCAGCCCCCGGCGCGGCGCCGAAGCGCTGAGCGCTCTGGCGGGACCGCCGCCGCAGCCACTGTGAGCCGCGCCCTCGGCGCCGCCCTGGGCCCGGGGCCGGCACGGCGCGGGGAGCAGCGGCCGCGGGGCCGGGCCGGGCGGGGCGGCGCCCACGTGGCCGCCATGGCAACCGGCCCGGCCCCCGGGAGGCGGGAGGGGCTGCGGCTCCGGCGCTGCCATGGCCGGGAGGTTGCTGGCCCTGTTTGCTCTGCTCGGCGCCTCCCAGGTGCGCCGCGGCCACCCGGGGCTCCGTGCCGGGGCCTCCGACTACGGCGGGGAGCGGGGAGCGGGGAGGGGCTGCGGCGAGGGGGGCGGGGGACGGGGGGCCGGCCGGGGCCCCGGGACTCGAGGACTCTCCTCGTCCCTGTGACTCTCCCGCCCGGCTGGCGGCTGACGTGAGGTAGGGCGGGGGTGCCGAGCGATCCTTTTCAGGGGTTTCCAGGCAGTTTGCTGCGCTCGAGGGAAGAAAAAGTAATGTGTGGGTGAATGACTTCCCACTTATTGCTGCTGTCGGGTTTTCTCCCTGCTGGATTACTCATGGTTTTCCTCCATGGCAGCCCAGTCTGTCTGTCCGCAGTTCTGTCATCAATGCACCACTGTTCCTGGCAAGGCGAGGAGCGGGAATGCCAGGTGGCCGTGAGCCTTCAGGGTCACCCAGGGTACTTCTTAGCTCTGGACTGAGCTCTCCGTTTCAGCATTTATCTTGCAGCAGTGCTTAGCTTCCTCTCTTTTGTTGGAAAAATAGAACAAAAATGTGAAAGATTATTTTTTTCCGTTATCCTTTAAAATGCATAAATGGACCTGAGTCTGGCCGTTCCTGGTGTTTTATGCTTCCCAATTTCCAAGATGTAGTTTTTCTTTCTTGACCTGTATTTTCCCCTTAATTCTGATCTTTTCTTTTTGTTATTTTCATGTCTTCTTGAAGTGGCTGTTGAGTCTGTTGCATTTGGAACCTTCTCCAGTATTTTCCTCATTTTGGAGTGTGATTTACAGATACAAATATCTAATAGCAACTTTGATGTAAGAAATTTCAGCATGTGTGTTTTGCCTTCTAACTCCAGAGCTCCCCAGTCCAAAGGACTCATTAGCTAATATTCAGTTTGTTGAAGCTTTCCCATTTGCAATCCAAACCTCTAGCAGCAAGCCTGCTTCTGCTTATCTGTTTTGTTAATATAAATTGAATAAGTGAATTTATGGTGCTTTAGCACACAGTTACTTTCAACTGCTATTTTCTTTGATCCCACCATCATGGAATTTGATTATTACTGGATATTTATTTTGTACTTTCAGGTTTTAAAAGCATATGATTACTTCTCTCCTTGGAGGGAACAGCAGCAGATGTACAAGCTAGACATAGGCTGGCCTAAAACTCCAGAAGACTTCACTGGCCAAACATTTTGTGTTGCTGTTGACTCTCTTCATGGTTTGATCTATGTAGGACAAGTGAGTGGGAACACTGTATTTCTTTCTGGTGTATTTTTGCCTGTAAAGGTTTAGATTAGGATGTATATGTGTATGTTTAAATGTATATATTAATAATTTTTGTATCAAAATCAGAGAAAATATAAGTATAGATGTCTCTGCTATATCTATTTTTTAGAGCAGTTCTGGTACCATATTTGTTTGAGCTTTTTTTTTAAAAAAAGCATTAAATTTCTGTGGTATGAATGCACGATCCAACTTCACTGAGTTACAGCGGCTTCTTCCCTTAGCTGCAAGGGAAAATGTGATTCTGTGGCAACTGAATCTTCCACTCCTTCAGGCCTTGTCCCATAAAATCAAAACAACATAGATCTTTCAACCAGTTACAGTAACTGAGTTAAATTATTTCCTCTACCCAGTTCCATGCATCGGTATCTCTAGGCCATGGATAAATGGAGGGAATTAATTGTAAAGCACAGTATGAATACTTGAGTGCCATGCAGCTAATAAGCACAGTTACAATTTTTCATGCCTGTGTTATACAGGCCATATTTTTCTGCAGGAACATAAAATCACATTTCAAAATGAAGGCCAAGGTAGCTGCAGGTGCTTAGCTGCTCTGAAAGTTGGATTCTTATGTGATTTAAAGTGAAAGTCTAGGGTGAGTGGAAGGTTTTCATGCTAAACTTAGACCCTTCTCTCTCTTTCCTTTTCTAGATGGAAAAAGAGGTCTAGTAGACAGTCAACTCAGGAGATTCTTATGATTCATGAAACATTGCAAAAACTTCACAAAGAAGAATTTAAAAAAATATGATTACTTGCTTAATATGTTTTCTTTGGACCTTTTTTTGCCTTTTCAGAGGGGAGACAATGTGCCAAAAGTACTTGTGTTCTCAGAGGAAGGCTATTTTCTTTACTCCTGGAATGATACAGTTGAAATGCCTCATGGTATCTTTGTATGGAACACTGCAATAGATAGTTCAGTATGGATCACAGATGTTGGAACAGGTATGCATGGTGGTGATATGAGAAGTATTAGGTGGGGAAGAAAATGTTAATACTGAAGATTTTGCTTTAAACAACTCATTTATTTAAATCTCTCAAACAGTTCTGAGACAGATTTGTGCTTTTCTTGCTGTGAACAAACTTCCCGGGTGCTGCACAAAACACTCCAAAGTTTCATGATTTGTGCTGTGTGTCTGCTTACAGCTGCTGAGCTCAGTAAGCACTCCTCCCTGCTGCCACCCAGAAGTATTAGGAAAAAACCCACAACTTCTGGCTAGACCTGTTGTCTGTTCTAGGTTTAGCGACCTTAATACAATGAATGAATATTGTAGTATCCTATGGATTTACAGTCATAATCTCACTACAGAATTTTGACTGTTTGATGAATTAATATCACTTGTGAGTATCAGGAGATTTTTAATCTTTGCAATTGGTTTTAATACTTACATTTTGTTTTGTTAAGATATTTTGGCACTTTTTTTTTCTTTAATTCAGGGAAATACGGACACACTGTGAAACAGTATAGCCCTTTGGGTAAACTTATGCAGGTCTTGGGCACACCAGGAAATGCTGGTTCAAGTTTGATTCCCCTGCAATTTGATCAGCCAGCAGAGATCTTTGTGGAGGAAAATGGAGATATCTATGTTGTGGATGGAGATGGAGGAATGAATAACAGATTGATCAAACTATCCAATGGTATGGAAAAATGAACTGCCGCAGTAGTTGCCTATTGAAAATTGAATTTTAAATAACACAGCTTGGGAATACTTTTAAACAAGGAATAGGTAGAACTGTCATTTAACATTAGTTAGAAGACCTTGTTGAATCAGATCCTGTTTTATTGCTTGTCACTTCAGGAAAAATCTCCTAATCATTTATGAGAAGAGGCTGAGAGTGTGAGTTTGTCCAGTCTTTAAGAGAGAAAGCTAAGGGGGATTCTTATTGCCGTCTTCAAGTCAGTAATGGGATATAGAGAAGACAGAGCCACATGTTTCTTGTTGATGCACAGTGAAGAAATGAAGAACACTAAGCAAAAGATGCAAGAGGGGTGAATTCCAATTCAGTTTTTGGAAAAAAATATTCACAGTGAGGCTGGTTAGACAGTGAATATTTTGCCTAGAGATGGTGTGCATTCTCCATTCTTGGAGATGCTCGAAAGTTATGAGTTATGAGGAACCTGATCTAATTTCAGAATTGAATTTGTTACCAAGAGTAGTTCTGCTTTGAGGAGCAGCTTGGACCAGACGGTGTCTGGAGATCTTTTATACTTAAATTGTTCTGTGATTCTAATTAGCTTGCTCATATACCCCAGTTAGAGCAGTGAGTGCGGAGTCTGCACATGCCTATGGTTGGAATTAGTGGAGGAGCTACTTTTTCTCCTTTGTTCTGTCATAAAGCAGATAGTTTCCTAATAACTGGTTTGCAAAATGGTGAATTGTTAAAACCCAGAACTGCCAGGTAACAAATATAAAAAATCAATTTAGTAAAGAAATTAATAGCATAATCAGCCACCTTTTCTTTTTCCTTTTTTTTTTACTTCAGTGCTTAACAGAATCTTAGACAATGGCAGAAATGTACTAGTGGTTACATTTCTGTAACTATAGTCCTGAAACCACTAACAATAATCCAGTAATCACTGTAGTAGTTCCAGTATTTCTTGGTTTTATGTATCAGTACTGTGTTTGAAAAGTTTAGAAATTTTACCTTTTACAAATTACTCAAAATAATTTTGCAAGAGAATGACTTAAAGATGCTTTATTTGTTGTTTTCTCAATGTGATTTTTTTACTTTTATTTTTCATCGTGCTCACTGTTTAGATTACAAAGAGATATGGCTGACTGGAACAAACGGGACTGGCATCGGTCAGTTCAAGATTCCTCACAGTGTAACATTGGATGCTTTTGGACGGGTAAAGAGTAAAAGAAAATTATTTTTTCTTTCATATTTCAACAGACCCATTTACATGTATTTGAACAAAACAAACTGTATTTCTTCTTTATTTGAACTGTTGGGGTCTGTGTCATTTTATTGTGCTAGTCATGAGCTGAAGTTTCCCACGGCAGATTCTACCGGTATAGCTGACTCCAAGGTTAACACAAGGATTCTGATCAGTTACATTGTCAATGTCCATGCAACAACTGACTGTTTCCCCTGCAGTTTGTAACAGGTTGCCATTCTGAGAGTAACAGAGAACTCTGTTCTGTAATAAGTATCTACCCAAGCACTTACACATCAGGGGGCTTTAATTTTATATTTGGAAATTCCAAATGAGTTTAAAATGATAGTGAGGCTCTAGCTACATTGTGGACATTACTCGTTTTTTCCATGCAGCTCAAGGCATTCCAAGAGACCACTTCTGCCAGATATTAATTGTAGTCTGGCTTTGGTCTGCCATTCTTATAGACAAATTACGCAGCCTCTTGTTATTCTGTTTCAGTGAAAATAAGATAGCTTTGCTAAAACATGACTGGTTTGAGCTAATTCTGCTGATGCTATCTCAATCAGAATAAGAAATGTATATAAAAATCACTGCTCTGCCAAAACTGGCAGAGTGGGAGAGAAAACAGGAGGGACATGGTCACTTTATGCTGAAGGGTAACTGGGTTTATTCACTACAAGACAGCAACTGAGATGGGCTATGATTTTGTTGCCAACATAGTGTTGATGATCAGCCTATGTTAAAAAATAATTGTTAATTCCTAAGAAATGTAAGAGAATGCTGTAGTAGTGTTTCGTTTAAAAATAGTGATGAAAAATATCAGGTCATCTTGTTCATTGCTCCCTTTTCAGTGATACCCCAGAAAAGTCATGAAGTTTACTTACCAGACTGATGCACTGTCAACAGTTAAAACTTCAATGGTTGTTGTACAAAAGGTGCCTTCACTGGAACTGTCTAGTGGTATTTGCTGGCTTACAATGTTTGCGAACCCAGTTAGCATAGGGTGGGACAGAGACAAGCTCCGCAAAACTGATAAGACAAAACAAACTGAAGGTGCTCTAAGTGTTTAAATTGCTCAATATTTGTAGCAGTATTAGGCATATCAAGAGTGCTTGCAGATGCAGTCATCACAGAACTGGATCATGAAGTGAGACTGCCACTGAAAAAAAATTTTTGGTGGGTGACAGACCTTTAGACAGATCTTTAGAATTAAAAATATGGGAATATGTCCTCACAGTGGGGGGAAAAGATCCTATCAAACATATCTATATCATAGCTACAAAAATGAAGAGGAGGCACCAATTTCTCTGTTAAAGTAGTATAAAATAATTCATGTATGTTAACTATGGGCCAGTTTTGGTTTATATCTGGAAGTCATATCTACTGATTTACTTTTGAATGGGAAGGTACATTCTTCCAAGGTACATTTTTACTACAGGGAACTTGCTCTTATAAGAAACTAATGCATTTGCTTTGTTCTATTTGTGAACAGCCAAGATTTTATTTCTTAACAGGTATGGGTTGCAGACAGAGACAACAAAAGAATCCAAGTTTTTGATAAAGTCACAGGAGAATGGCTCGGGTCTTGGAGCAGCTGTTTTTCAGAAGATGGACCCTATTCTGTCAGGTATTGTTGATCAGTTCCTCTAGACACATGCAATTACATAAATAAGGTGTACTCATACTGGTGAATTAAAATGTTGATATTTAAACCCTGATGACAAGGAGTTAACCAGTTTAATAGGGTGCTGGGCCCTATTCATATGCAAAGATCTGCACAGTTGTATCTTGACAGGAAAATCCTGACTTTGTAACAAGCCCCGTGGATTTAAATGCAGGATTGGGAACTTCATTTTAAAGTTGTTGTGTATTATTAACTTTACTGGTGCAGCTTTTACAGGCAGAAAGATTGTCTTGAATGAGTTTTCTGTAGCATAATCTGTCTCAATGAGAAGCCATATGAAGAGCAAGACTTAGAAGTTAATTCTCAATGTTTTATTGCATTTCGTTTGTCATAGCCTTCAAAGATGTGACTATTAAGAAGTTTTTGTTAGTATAAAAGTGCGTGCTTGTGTCAAAATGACGTCATATGGCGTCCATAATTCAAAAATATGTTTGTCTTTCACAGATTTACTGCGGATTACAAGTACCTGATTGTAGCTCAGCTGAATATCAACCGGTTAGCAATCTTGGCAGCACCACCAGTTGGCGCTATTGGGGACTGTGTTATGGTCCATACAGTCCAGCTGGCAGATGAAACCAAACCTCACCTTGTGGATGTGGACATGAAGAGTGGAGCAATCTATGTTGCAGAGATTGGAGCCCAGCAAGTACAAAAATTTGTACCCTTAAGCTGATGGTTTCCCACAACTGCCATGGCACAAGCTGTGTGGCGTATAAGACCTATGACCACATTTCCTGGAGGGTTTTTTGGCTTATGTTTCCTTAGACAAGCACAGAACATTGTGCTCCCAGAACCCTACAGCTAAGAATCTGTCCTGTTCTGTTCTGCAGTTCTGGAGAAGTACTTTGGCTTGTTTTAGTAATCTTATGGTGGCTTTTGCTTTTGTTGCAATTGAAAAATGGAAAGCATTTTAATTTTATTATATAAAACTTTATAAACACAACTGTTGTTCTTAAATGCATGGAGTCATCTTGGGACTTCTCTACCTAGCCTGTATATGTTGTTAAATGGTCAGAACTGTCTGAAAGAAATTGTATAAATTATTTCCTGGGAGGAGAGGACCTCATTTCAATGTTTCTTCACTTTTTTTTTTTTAATCATTATGCTGATACTGTCCAACACCAAATACAAGGAAGTATAATGATGTTAAATTAGATGCTGCTGGATATTGGTGTCAGTATGGTGTCAGATGCCACTTGCATCTGGCCTAGGTGGATAATGACATTAAGTATTGAAATCTGTTTTCAGCTCTAGCTAAAATGGTGAAGTCTGTAATAAGCTTAAGTTAAACTGATATTAGGCACTTAGGCTAAAGTAAAAGTCTGTGCACAGCAGCCAAGTACTGATTCTTAATTAAATCAGTTCTTAACCTGATTTGATTTGTATCAGCATGAATTTTCTGTTCTGTAAGGTTTCACAGGGGAACATATTGACATTCAAGTTATTTTAAGTTCCTTAAGAAAAACAAATTGCAATTTGCTAGGAAGGTCTTAATCAGCAGTAGGGACTGGGAGACATATGATTTTCTTCCAATTTATTTGTAGCGCTGTCAGTTAACAGCAATGCAGCCATTTTAATTTGGGGATTTTTAACTGTTTTGTTTCCAGAATTCAGATTTCATCAACTCCATTAATGTCTAGAGTTAAGTTTCTTACCCTATATCCTACCAGATGTCTCCAAGCTCTGTCCTAAAAAAATGCTGTTTCTCTCCATTCCCAGACCAGAGTGTTTCTGTTTTCTTTACATGTTGCTAGAAGACTTTAAGTTCACTTTATAGCATAGAGGGAATTGGGTATGGAAAAATGGGATGGGGAAAATGGCATGGCAGAAATGCGACAGTGAATAACTGATTACCAGAGTAAAACTGTGGATCTACATTCCATATTTTCTAGCTCTTCAAAACATTTGGGAGGATTTTTGCTGTTTCCACACACTTATTCTACTCTGTGGACTATTTTAATGCTAATTACCAGCTAAGAGTGGCAATCTTTTTTCTACTTCTATGGAAAGAGAATATGGGAAACAGACTTATGCTGTTGAGAAATACCCATTTCAGTGAATGTTATCAAAAGCAAATGCTTCTTAATTTGGCAGGTTTCAATCTATGATCACAAATTTGTGAGTCAGCAGATGGAAAATCTGTCTAGAAAAGTCAGATTCATACTTTTTGTGGAAAGTAACTCAGCAGTGGAGCCTGATGGCCTGATTTTAGTACTATTTGAGACTAATGCACTAAATGTGAATGCTTTGTTGTTGGCTGCATCCACAAAACCAAAACCAGATCTCATCTGGGACTGCCCTCACACAAGCCTGAGAACCAGAACTTCAGGGTTATTTACTAGCACATATGGTCCATCGCTCACATGATCTTGAATGGGAGCTAGTTAGCAATATTTATTTCCTGAAAAAGTAGCAGTACTTCCTCTAGACCTAGGTGGATATGTCCACACAGTGTGTTGTGTGGATTTTCTAACTAGTTTTCCACTAGCTCAGGGATCTCTGCTCTATGTGTAATTTAGCTATTTCTTGCCTACACAAGGTGGATTTATTTTCTTAAATTTTACTGTAATATCACAATATTTGAGCATATCTCGGTGGTGTAAGGGGTCCAGGTATATCCATCCTTCCTCATCACATCCTCTCCTTATTTATTTTTCCTTTGTCATATCCATTTGAAACAGAACTCAGTGCTCTCTGGGAACCTACTTCTGTGTTCAGTCAAGCAATAATGCACTTTTGGATGCTGACAGATAATTCTACAAGCTTCTGTTTGCTCCATGGATCTGCTCTCAGCTCTTTTTTTACATGGGCTTTTGCAGCCTCTACAAATGGGGAACTTTCATCCAGTTTTGTCCGGCTTTACTGAAATAGGCTATGGTGCCAAAATGTGCCTTACCACTAGGCATATGGGTATCTGTAATAACAAGAGACAAGGGATGCTCATTATTAACTAGTATGAAATGCTTAGACTCTTTTTTGTCTCCGTCTGTGACCAGAAAATTATTTTGTGCACTAACTTGCTAATTCTGTGAAGGTTTTCTTATGTATCATCTTGAAACTGATTTCTGAAAAAATGCATAGTAGGATAATTTGATAAAATAAATTGAGAATTTCCCATTATTAAAGTTTTGGGTGCTTTATTTCTGTACTAATATCAATACACTCCATTGCAATGGATTACTTTTCTAAGTATGGGGCCCTCAGCACTTTAGTAAGGTATTTAATAATTTCTGATACCAACATTCAAATGTAATCTAAAATTCCATGTTGTCTTTGTATGTTACTATTTCTGTGGCCAATCTCTTTTGTATTCTAATTTATGTATCAAAACAGACACATAAATATCTCTCATATGTTTCCCTCTGAGTAATTAGTAAAATGGGATGATGAATTACATAAGAGCCAAGTTTAAAGAAATATTTAAACTGTATACCTTTATGATGCTAATAGGGAAATTAAAAAGAAACTCACAAAACACTTCTTATGACAAATTGGGTTTTATTTTCAGAAAAGATTTACTAAACAGTGTTGATTTTTTAGAAGGTCAAGAAAGGACTTCTCTATGAGTTAGAAATACTTGCACAAGAAGAAAAATAACATACTCCAGTGTTACCTAGCCAAGGAAGAAAACCTAAGCTGATTGCTATAACACCCCAGAAATCTAGTTTTAGGTAGTAAGTGCTAACTTTTAGGTGTAAGCAGTAAGCACTGGAGTATTGAATTAATGGAAATAGGAATAATCTATATTTTGATGTCTCCAATTTTGCAGAATTTTTTTTTAATTGACCCTTTTCTTTAAGGAAGTACCACAGCTGTTAACTGGATGATGTTCCCATTAGGTAAGACCAGATCACATAGTCTCCTCCCTTCATAGAATGATAGAATAGTTTGGGTTGGAAGAGACCTTCAGGACCATCTGGTTCCAACCCCTCTGCCGTGAGCAGGGAACCTTCCATTAAATCAGGGTGTTCAACATCCCATCCAACCTCACCTTGGACATTCCCAGAGATGGGTCATCCACAACATCTCTGGGCAACCTGTGCCAGTGCCTCATTAATCATGATTTTTCTGTGATGATAAACAGCCTTTTTTTATGTGTGTTTTTCTGTTCTCATAGTGGGCAATTTATTATCAATATTTGTCTGGCCGAAACAAAAGAAGCCTGAATCAGGTTTGTGCTATGCAAGATCAGATCAGTGAAGCTGAACCATCTCAATAAAAGTTGAAGGGGAGGGTACACAGGTATGTCTGTGGGTCTGCTTGTTGCTGTAAGTTCACTGCCTCTGTGAAAGTGGTTATGAATCTTTTTGAAGCATTAAGCAGTCAGTTGTCTTACTTGACACTTTCTTTAAAATTTGTGACCTGAGATGCCTTCTCAAGTGATCTGTCACCAAGAAGTGTTTGCAATCAGTGAAGTTGCTTGTACAAAACGTGAGAGGGCACCAAACCCCTACCGATGCTTGGCGTACTCAGTGTGAAGACATATTTTGCAAACACAAACAGCTGGTATTTCCTGAATGTTTGGAGTAAGTCAATAAAAATGACAAATTACTCCAGACCTCCTTTCTCTTTTCAAAATAGACTGCTTTAAACATAAGCTGATCGTAGAATCATAGTCGGTTTTGTCTTATTACTACTGGATTTATGTCAATCTTTTATTTCCATTGTTTTTCCTAGAAAAAAAATCAGTAATTCAGCATCCAGAGACAACTGGATATGGTGAATTGATTCTTGTAGTCCTTACATCATTGGTTTCAATAGAATTACTCCTGATATGTTGCTTTGGAAACATAATAATTTATAATAGTATAACTGTAGCAGCATAATTACACCAAGAGAGAGATGCCAGTGTATTTCCCTACAGAGGTGACCCTGAGTGAGATTAGAGCTAAGCTTACTTAATCTCACTCACCAGTTTTATTCTACCCCTCCTTTCTCAGCCTTTGTTTCAAAATCTTGCTCTGTTTTTTTATCACTATTTTATTCTACTTTGGGAGATTCATCTGCAAAATTTGCATTTGCCAGCAGTTGCCATAAAAAAAGTTAGAACACAGACTTTTCTTCAGGTAAATGATTCAAAATATTTGAGTCTTTCAGTGTTCATAAAACATCAGTCATATTGCTTATAAGAAATTTTAAAGTAAGATCATATTAATTTATGCATGCAAGAGGATTTATTTGTTACGGCATTAAAGCCAAAGTGACACTGATACAAATGAGATATTGAACAGACACACTTTATCATAGTATCACATGTTTTGAGGCTGATGAAACCAAATGTGTGTAACTAGATCTGCAAAACAGAGGTAAAATTGTTGCTCAGTTACATCAGGAATAAGCCTAGTAATTCTGTCTCAGCTATGGTGGGATCTCTTACAAACAAATCAAGACTTGAGAAATGTCTTGAATAACTAAAGTCTATGTGTTTTAATCCATCCTAGTAGTCAATAAACATCATTATGAAGGAGAGGCTTTGTATTTAGTCTGGATTCATTTGTCTTCAACATCATGTTTTCTGTTTTCAGCTAGCTTGAAGACATAATATGGTATTTTATTTTTTTCTTATCAGTAATAGAGTCATTTACAGATGATGACTGAGTCATCTCTTGCTCTGCTCCTTGTTTAAACTGTGTAGATTGCAAAAGTTGACTTGCAGTGGAAAACTGGTAAGACTTTTAATTTCAAAATGTTTTCTTAGCACTTTTTAATAAAAACAGACAAATCCAGAAGAATGTTTACTGTGTAACAGGAAGTCTAGATATTAGAATGGCCAAGCACTAAACAGGAGTAATACTATATCCCCGTGATTTGATGAAGCTGAATTTGTTTCTGCTACTAGCTCTCAGTACAGTACAGTACTGCCTCTGATAGTTGTCAAAGGGTGACTAAATGGTCAAGGTGTGAAGGAACCCTTCTGGAAGAATAGACCAGAATAGATACTGAGGGTTTTATCTGTGTTTACTGTTGAAGTGCTTAGCAAACTTTCCATGTTGTTAAATTTGAAGAAAGAAAAAAATTCTAACACACACACACAAACACACAAAATCAAATTAAAAAAGCCACTACACCTGTGTGTGAGGTTTCTGTAGAGATTCAACAGAATTGATGGTTGTACCTTGCCAATTGACATAAACCATAATGAAAGAATACATGTGTTAGATACACAGCCATGAAATCATGAATTACAGGTCTTTGGAAGAATCTCTGAGCATGTATGTCAAGATGATCTGGCAAATAAAGTTTAAATTTTCAAAGGGCTTTTAGCAACATCTCATTCCAAGTGTCCATACAGAAATGAGAATGAGAAAGAAGGGATAATTATGGAAGACTAATTAAAATATTATAAATTAAATATATTAAAAACTAGTTCTCTGCTGCTCAGTGTATTGATATATGTTCTGGAAATGAATTTGGGAAGTCAGGGATGCACTGACAATACTAAGCTACTTAGGCTTGAGACTAAAGACAAAAGCTGCAAAGAGTTGCAGAAGGACACCATGAGATTGAATGACTGGGCAATAAAATAGCAAAAATAATATAACGTTGATAAATAAAAAATCAGATACAGCTAGTAAAAAGAAATCTAATTTTATACACTGTGATATCTTTGATATATATTGCCATTTAGGAAATGATTCCAGCTCATAAGATATGATTCTTTGAAAATATCAGCTTCCACAGGAGCAATCAGGAAACAAAGAAAATAATGGGTGGTACTAGGAAAATACCAGATGATCAAACAGAAGGCATTGCAATGCATTTATATGAATTCCTAGTGCACACTCATTTTGAATAGTGCTGGCAATTCTGCCTCTTCTTTCTCCTTCTAATCTCAGGAAGTCTGCAGCAGAACTAGAAATAGGAGAGCAGGGGAAAAAAAATCTGTTAAAAATGCTTGGCTGTATCCAGCTACTGTGTTGGGTATCATCAGCATTTTATCACTTAAGGCCTGTGTGTGAACATGCCATTTTCCCTATATCTGCTGTTCTGAACTGGTTTGGCTTCAGAACTCAGTGAGGATCTACAGTCGGCTGGCATGCCAAGGTCAGGGCAAGAATACAGATAGGCAGAGACATGTGGTGTCTATTATGCAGGAGAGGTTAGCTTGAAAGAAAAATAAGAGTTTGCAAATATACTAAGGTTTTAGTGGTGAAGGTACTTTTTGAATAGAACATACAGTCACAAAGTCAGTTCATTTGTCTTCCCAAAAATCAAAAGTTTCAGCAAAGGAAGTCAGAGTTGTCCTCACTCCAGTTGGTCAGATTTGATCTTCTCCTCAAGGGTCATGCTCTGGCTGCCTATGCCACCTGTCCACTGTCCTAAAGATGAAAAGTACTATACTTGCTGCATCAGGTACCAAAATTGGGAAAAAAAAATTTCATTTTTAGGTAACACATCATCACCTATGGTCTGACACAAACATGAGATAGCATAAGCTAATTTTTGTTCAAAGATTGGAGCACTTGAAAAATCTTGGAATTAAAATGAAGGTGCTCTTTCAAATGTTTTAATGATTTCCAGCCTGACACAATGCTGGTGGTCATGCTGGTTTATTTCGTGTGCATTGGTGTGGCTGGAATAAGCAGGTAGAAGATGGGTCTTAGCTCCCAAATGGGGCCTCCCGCTGCAGTGTTCATAGCAGACGGTGACTGGTCTGCAAGCAAATGCCCATAATTGTCTCTGTAGGGATGCTGTAAAAGAGAAAGGAAGTGAGATGTCATATTGGGGCATGTGCTTCAACATGTGTATAAAAATTACAGTGGGAATATGTACTTAATCCATTAAGGAGGAGACCTGAAGGTCAGGGGGAGGAGAGAGGAGTGATTCTACTTAGCGGAGTCCACACTAACTCTGTAATAAGGCTTGCTCCATCTTACTTAATGCCCAGTCTAATTTCAGAGCTTTTAATATGAAAACTCTAAAAAATTGTTTTAAGAACAGATGATACTCTAAGTAAGGGTTACCATCATATGCCTCCTAGTTGTTGCCTTAACAGGGGCTTTGTGATGGATGATGCTACCAGACAAAAACAGAAAGAAAGTTTGAATCATCTATAGGACAAATAACAAGCTGGAGGAATTAAAAATATTGGGGATAACTTTTAAGGTGGTACCTTTCAATTGATTTGAAAATGCTTGCCTGTGTTCTTACAGGGATGCATGGTGCAGCAGAGAAATCATGATTTTCATTTTTCCCAATTTCCTTATAATAAATTTCCTTCTTTCTCATAAACAACCCAGTCAGGAGGACACACAGGCCACAGACAATATTTATCAAATATCTTTTATGAATTAAGCTGTTACTATTAATACAGTCAAGCTGTTGTTTTCCTTATAGCTATGTCTGATGGTGTTTCCCCAGCCAACCCAGGTTTGATCTGCCTCCGAAGCAGAGGGCTGCCACAGACAGCTCCCATTACACCTTCTCTCTGGCCTGCTGCTTTCTGGTCCCAGTTTCTCCATCCTTGCACAGGTTTCGGCAGTGCACAGGTCTTCATCCCTGCACACAGCTCCCCAGCAGTCAGGAGAGGAGGATGGATTGCACATCAGGAAACCCTGACAGCACTGGAGTGGCTTATGTTAAAAAAAATCTCTCTTTTTTAACCAGGCATTGCAAAGAAAGATGCAGCTTATCTGAAAAGGCAGATTTGCTGGCAGTCTTGGAGAGGCCACCTCTAAAGCAGAGCTGACCACCAGGCAGTCTTAGGAAGGTTGTCAGGTGCTGTGAAACCCATGCAGCTCTGCAGAGCAGTCACGTAAGATGTGCCCTCCTTATCCTGCATGGAACCTGAGATCCTTTCAGTCATATTGGCTGCTCTCTGAGCAGCACCTTCCTTCTCCAACAGAGGAAGCAATATGCTACTGATGTAAAACCTATAATGATCTGTGAACACAAGCAACATTTGCAAGGAAAATCAGTATCTCTTGTTAGTGCAATTGTGACAGTTTAATACGGGAGACAAGCATTTGGGTATGCAAGGCCTTATGTAACATTTACTTCTTTTTTTTTTTAAACAACTATCTCACTAGGTCTAACAAAGAATATGACTGTCCCCAGCAAATGTTGACTTGCTCAAGAAACAGAAGTCATGGAAATTTCAGATTGTATATATGGCATATAATATGTATCCTAAACACCAACACACATTCACTCACGTGTACAGATTAAATATAACAGGAGAGGTATGCAGCAGATGCAGTATATACAGTCTAACATTTATACATATGTATGTTATTTTAATTTAATCCTTATTGATCTAGTCTGGGTCCCTGGCATGCTGGGAGAGAAGAGTGGTAGCAAATGCTTCTATAATGAAACTGCCTAAGCTGCCCAGTATCAGCAGTAGTTCTCTGCCGTGTTTGCACTGTACAGAGACAGCCCTTGCCCTGCAGGCCTTCACCAAGAAAATAGGCTAGTGTTAAAGAAAAGCAATATATAATTCAGTAAGACTATATGAAACCTCCATGCTTTCAAAAGGAGGTCTATTTTCGCATGAGAGATCCATTAGATCAGCTCAGGTGTCCCAAGGAATGCTACTGCACCAGTCTAACTCACTGCATTAAATCCAGTGTACGAGTTGTAATGGATTTTATGACATCCCCTGTTCTCACTGTTCTGCTTGGGGGAAATTTCAGCTGGGCTAAGAAAGGAATAATAGCTGCTTGATTCAAAATCTTTATCGGAGAAGAAACATTTGCAGCTTAATCTAAAAATCTCAACCCCCATATTATTTCAAAAGAAAAAAAAAGCACTTGGCACTACACAATAATTGAGATAAAGGGGAGAAAACTGTTCACTGGAAGTCTTAAGAACCTACTATAAAAACATTCTTCTTGGTTTGTCAGTCACTCATTTTTGTTACTTCTGTAATCAACTCTATCTTTTGCTCCTTCTTAGTTTTAATTTTGTTTTGCTTGCCTTGCCTGTACACAGACACACAAATAGAACAGGCCAGTGTCCCCTCTCACGATGTAAGATTCAAAAATTAGTTTTTAATGAAAGATGCATCCAGTCTTTCTCAAACAGAAATAGTAATTTGAGTCATAACAAGGACTATTAAACAATGCCCTGTAGTGAGCTACAATTGGTGTTTTCCTCTCTACACCTCTCCTAATTGCTCACTATTATTCTGACTGCTTATATAGTTTTGATGGGTTTTGATGTGCTCAAGATGCTTCTGCAGAGTATTTTCCTAGACTGGTGAGCAGAATTATTATATGGTTGGTCCTAGCATCTTATTACTTTTTAAGTTAAGATTTTATTAGTCCTATCTTGCTAAAATTTGCAAATCAAATTATTTTTAATTTGAAGGAGAATGATTTGATGGTAATATCTGCTGGGTTCAGCTAAAGTAAATCAAAACACATTCAGCGTAGCTGAAATTGTCTTGAAAGCAGAAAGGCATTTGCACTGTGAATCTGTGAGGGTGGAGGTGATGAATTATACTGTGAAAAAAAATGAAAACCAGATGGCACTTGCCAAACACCAACACAGTACAGTTACGCATAGTGGAGGCATAACCACATAGCACTTATACAAACCTGTTACCTAGATCCTCATTAGGCTTCTGAGCAGAATGAAGTTTGAGTTTTGCTGAGGTGTCTGGTGACATCGGGGTTTTGTGAGATGAAGACAAAGCAGCAGCTTGGGTTGAATGAGCCCAGGCTAGAGATGAGATGATGGACGGGCAGTTTGCCAGGACCTCCCCAGCACTGATTGCTTTGTCCAGAACTGCTGCACAGTTTGGAGCCCCCACTAGTGCCTGCAGGGCAGGGAGCTGCTGGCTGCTCTGATAACAGGGGATGAGGCAGGATTTGAAATCTGAGTTTAGAACAGTGTGGTCTTTCCCAGCGCTTTTATGACAGCTCAGGCATCACTTTGGTGGCCACAAATAGTTCTAAAACCACAACTTCAGATGCATTATGAACCTAAAGTTGGTGTAGGAAGAATCCAGATTTCATATAGGAGGAGATAAAACTTGTAGGAAAAATTAAAACCCTGACTGCACTGCAGCCAGGAATAAAATTGTCACTGACAGCTACAGAAAAACTAGGATTTCCCCCTATACAAATACATCACGTATTTTGTTGTTGCTAATATGACCCCACTCACAAGAACTATAGCAAGAACAAGAAGATACAACCTAGTGATGAGAGATTCATGTTACAGTTGTTTTGGTTCTGCTGCTCCAAAGCATCCACAGTTTATAAGCTGGGGAGCGCAGCTGTAAGTGAACAGAAGCTTTTGCCCAGAGAGTTATTGCTTATTAAATGTTGCTGTTCAAATTTCTTTGCAACTTGAAAGTAGATTTTCCAATCAACAGATGAGTCATACCCCAATCCTCTTTATTTTGCCAACAGACAAGTAGGAAGATTCAGCTGATATACATCTTGGAATATTGCCAATTTATGATTCAATTTACTGTCATAATTGTTTGTTGTTCTGCTTTGTTTCAGTGAAAATGATGGATCATAATAATTATTTTGCATATCGTACTTCTCTTTTAGTCCTTAGATCTAGAAAGGGATTTGGACCAGTCTTCCTGCAAATGAATCACACCATTTTTATTTAGAAATACCTAGGTTAATTTTTGTTATCAGCAGTCTTTATTATCAACATCTCTTAATAGCAACATTAAAGAGGAAAATCAATTCCCAAGAAAATCCTTCTGGCCACTTTCCTATCAGCTAAAAGGTCATGGCACTGTAGAGTTAAAACCTCATCATCTCTACATGACTATTCTTGCCTGTTCCACTCAAAATATCCTGTGAAACAGTCACATTAGTGCTTTATGATTAACAGCAGCCATTTACAGAAGATGTCCTTTGGCTGGAATTTTCCACCCTGCAGCTGAGATGCAGTACCTGACAGCATTCCTGGGGCAGAGGAAGGTACAAATCAAAACTGGAGATGCCAACAGATCATGTAAGTATGCATTTGTAGGGGTTCTGCCATGCTGTGGACCTGTAAATTGCTCAAGATGAAAAAGTTTGATCCATTGACATTGCAAAACTGACCCCTCCTTTGGCCCGGCTGAGTGTTGCATGTCACAACACAGAAAGCTTCTCTGTGGGAGAGCTTCCAAATGAAATCGCTCACCTGCCACATTGTGGAGGGAAGGGTCTAATAGATCTGTCACCTATTTTTCTTCCAAAACCTACCTGCAAGCTGGTCCTGACCTGGGATGTACACCTGTTGGCCTAATGCTCTCCATGGGAAAACAATGTTGGTTCTTTTCTTTGGGCACCTGGAGGAGGGTCCAAATTTTAGTGTCTCAGTTTTAAAGACTATGTCCATTCTATTAAAAATAACAAAACAGAGAGTTTGATCTGTATCCCTGAGTGATATGAACTTTTTCACATCCACATTGCCCAGGGCATGCCTCTCCTGTAGCACTCCCACTCCATCCTCTCTCTGGAGGTCCTCTGGCACTGTGCTGGTGTCCCTTCAGCAACAGAATTACGATTTAGAGAGGTGGGGAACTTTACCTTCTTTTCTTTTTCTGAAATAATGTAAGGTTTGCTCTGCAATTCTGAACTTCAAAAACCTGTGAGTGGGTGTTTTGTTCATACCAGTGTGTGGCATGAGGACATACGCCAATGTTGGAGGCTCAGGTTCATTTATGGTACCTTCCAGGAAGAGTTCCTGGGAAAAAACTCTCCAGAAGCATGCCTGGGCTCTGTCTTGGAAAAAGTTTGTTGAAGTGCTCAGGCCAGTCCATGAGCAAACTAAAAGTTCAGCACAGAAGAGTTGTGAACCAGTGCTTAGCCCCCATTCCCTGCCCCACATTTATTTAGCTGTACTACCATACCAGGAGTCAGCACCTTATTTTAGCAAGAACAGTGTTACCAAATGAGCAGAAAAAGAGTGACACAAGTCATATCCAACACCCACTTTCTGCCAGGAAGCAGATATCACTCTCTGCTGGGTTAAGAACTGGCTGGATGGCCAGGCCCAGAGAGTGGTGGTGAATGGTGCTGCCTCCAGTTGGTGACTGGTCACTAGTGGTGTCCCCTAGGGATCAGTGTTGGGCCCAGTTCTATTTAATATCTTTACTGATGATCTGGATGATGGCACTGAGTGTACCATTAGCAAATTTGCAGATGACACCAAGCTAGGGGGGCAGTGTTGATTTGTTGCAAGGCTGGAGGGTTCTTCAGAGGGACCTGGATAGGCTGGAGAGTTGGGCTGATTCCAATGGGATGAGGTTCAACAAAGCCACATGCCAGGTCCTGCACTTTGGCCACAACAACCCCCTCCAGCACTACAGGCTGGGGACAGAGTGGCTGGAGAGCAGCCAGGCAGAAAGGGACCTGGGAGTTTGGATCGACAGAAAGCTGAACATGAGCCAGCAGTGTGCCCAGGTGGCCAAGAAGGCCAATGGCATCCTGGCCTGGATCAGGAACAGTGTGGCAGCAGGACCAGGGAGGTGATTCTTCCCCTGTACTCAGCGCTGGTGAGGCCACCCCTGGAGTGCTGTGTCCAGTTCTGGGCCCCTCAGTTCAGGAAGGATGTTAAGGTGCTGGAGCAGGTCCAGAGAAGAGCAACAAGGCTGGTGAAGGGACTCAAGCACAAGTCCTATGAGGAGAGGCTGAGGGAGCTGGGGTTGTTTAGCCTAGAGAAGAGGAGGCTCAGGGGAGACACCATCACTCTCTACAACTACCTGAGAGAAGGCTGTAGCTGGGTGGACATCGATCTCTTCTCCCAGACAACCATCAGTAGAACAGGACACAGTTTTAAACTGTGCCAGAGGAGGTTTAGGTTGGATATTAGGAAGAAATTTTTTAGAGAGAGAGTAATCAGACATTGGAATGGGCTGCCCAGGGGGGTGGAAGGTTCACTGTCCCTGGAGGTTTTTGAGATGAGACTGGATGTGGCACTTAGTGTCATGGTCTAGTAACCACAGCAGTGTTGGATCAAGGAACTTGCTAATCTCAGAGGTCTTTTTCAACCCGATTGATTCTATGATTCTATGTTTCTATGAATGCTTTTAGCATAATCCAGATTAAAAATATCATATATATATAAATCTAGCAGAGTAGGAACCTCTAAATTGCCTCCTGGGACTCCTCCCAGGGAACTCAGCTCATGCCTCACCCCCAATTCAAGGTCCTATTGAGAATTATGGTTTCATCTTATGTAAAATACCAAAAGTTTTTGGCAGAATACTTGAAAATTAATACTGCAGCACAATCATGGAAATTCCTCTCTTTTTAATGGGATTTTCTGCCTGGCTAATAAACAAATTGTCTTTCAAATGAAAGCTGTCTCTGAGCCTGCTCTCTTGCTGGATTCTGGCCTAGCTAACAGAGAAGGAAACTCCAGAGAAGTTATGCTCTCTCTGACAATGATCATGCTGTTAAGTGATATGTAGAGGCCATTTATTTATTTACTTACTGATTTGCCATAGTTAATATTTGTTGCATTGCTGCCTGCTGTCTCTCCCCATTGGTTTAAAAGGAATGTTGCACTCTGGGTTGTATTTTCCCTCCTAGTGCTTTAGCCACTCAAATCTGTTACTGTTGTTGTCCTCTCCTGTCTTCTAGCCCTGGGGATAGTTTTCTGCCATAATCATCCTTTATCTCTCTTAGGGTTAACTCTTGCAGTCCTTCCCCCCCCCACCAAGAGATGAGAGATGAGTGAATAGATAGACAAACGGGGCCAACAATGAATGAAAGCAGCAGGGCTGCATACCCCAGCAGGGTAAAATGCTGACTGTAGCAGCACTGCTTTAAACAATCACAGTTTCTTCTGAGTTACCTTACTGGTCACAACCTCTACAGGTAACTACTGTGCTCTGTAATCACAAGCTTCTCAGACCAATAGTTATACATTTTTATTTATCTATGAGGCAACCAGCACAGAAGCAGCACTTCTGAACATAGATGATAATTCATTCTGGCACTGTGTTGTGCTGTGTTAATATGAAAATGCAGTGCTGATTTTGTTTATTTGTTTTGTGTAAGGAGATTGATGCTAAATCTCCCCCTGCAAATCCAACAGGATCATTGTGGTTTAAGATAATTGCATAGTTTAACACAGTTGTAAAACTGCAGTTGATTCTGGCATTTGGAGCCTGCCTTTGATGTGTCTCAGGTTCATCTCCTGGAACTGTGTGCCAGTTTGTCCCACGATCCATATTTATTTGTTTAAATTTAAAATAATCAAGATCGGTTCCCAAGGCTCTATGGAACTGCCATAATAAATTATGCAAAAATACTGTTAAGTTAAGCCTCAGCAATTCAGTCAGCCAGCTATCTACCTCCACTGTCAGCTGGAAAGCATGTCTCTGCCTCATCTGAAAACTGTCTTACATACATGCCTTTTGCAGCGGGCCTGGAAAGTCAGCAAATTTGGCATCTTCGAAAGAAAAAGAGGAACAATTTCCAGAGCCATCAAATACAACACTCGGTAAGAGCTGTGTTTTTCCCAGTTACTAGGTGCTAGAGCTTCTGAAGAAAGCATTTATTGGTTTCAGGCCCAGTTCATAGAGGACTTTACTGTGCACACACAAAAAAAAAAGTGTGTGAGAGGACAAGACATTCTTAATCCAAACACGGAGAATAAGTAAAACTTCCAGGGAAGACCCCAAATATATTCTCTCTGCTTTCCCAGGCAAACACCATAAACTGCAAGAAGACATTGACACACTGAACAGAGCTCCTGAGGCACCAATATCTTATACTCTGTATTGAGTCTGTGTGGCAAGGTTTTGGTGTGGGGGGGCCTGCAGGGGGGGCTTCTGTGAGATTCAGCCAGAAGCTGCAACCCAGTGCCAGTCAGCTCCAAGATGGACCTGCTGCTAGCCAAGGCCAAGCTCATCAGGGAGTGCCTCCAGGATAACAGAGTTAAACAGGGGAAAAAACTCCGACAACTTCAGCCAGAGAGAGGAGTGAGAACATTTGAGAGAAACAGCTCCGCAGACACCAAGGTCAGTGGAGAAAAAGGGGGAAGAGGTGCTCCAGGTGCCAGAGCAGAGATTCCTCTACAGCCTGTGGTGAAGACCATGGTGAGGCAGGCTGTCCCTCTGCAGCCCATGGGGTTCCACAGTGGAGCAGGTATCCCCCTGCAGCCTGCAGAAATGTGTGATGAGCTGACTGCAACCCCCATTCCCTATCCTCCTGCACTGCTGGGGGGAGAAGGCAGAGAATTCAGAAGTAGAGTTACACCCAGGAAGAAGGGAGGACTGGGGGAAACTGTTATAAGATTTAGTTCTATTTCTCATTACCCTACTCAGATTTAACTGGTAATAAACCACACCAATTTCCCCAAGTTCAGTTTATTTTGTCTGTAACAGTAATTGGTGACTGATCTCCCCCTGCCCTTATCTCAACTTATGAGACTTTTGTTATGTTTTCTCTCCCCTGCCCAGCTGAGGGGGGGGGAGTAATAGAGTGGCCTTGGTGGGCACCTGGCATCCAGCCAGGGTCAGCTCACCACGTACTCCCAAATATTCTGCTTGGATTTCAGCTGTTGAGCTCATGAGGCATGTTTACCAGCATCTAACCCTGAGGAAACCATCATGTGGATCATGTTGTCAGTGTTTGTGCCCAAGAGGGAAGGCCGTATGTGTCTAATGAGGCACACTGTATGAAAACTGGCAAAAGAGAATGCTAGCAAAGGAAGAATAAAGTTACAAATAAAGTAGGCTTAAAAATAGTGAAATCATTTCAACTATGACTTCCATTGTAGAAGCTCTAAACTCTCACTTGGTCCTCTAAAGCCCACGTCCCTGGTATCTCCTAAATAACTTCCCAGTATCCTATTTCTTCCCACTCCTGTCAGTACTGTGGCAAAAAGTTCAATTGTCACAAAACGACCTATGCTTATATGACTACATTCCTTTACCCTCCAAAACGCTTGGCCATGTCTAGTTTGCCTGATGGCTCTGCTCTTTGTTATGTAGTAACTCCTGTGCTCATGAATTGTCTGGAAAAGTGCTTGTGGGCCCAGGCCAAAACCATGCCAAAAACCTTTTGCAAAAGTTCAACACAATTTCAGCAATTTCAGTTGCCTAAAGCACCTTCTGCAAACAGCCAAGGATGCTGCCCATCCAAAAAAGCTCTTTACTCAGGGGACTCAAGCTCCACAGTTAAATCTCAGCTTGTTATCTGTGTGCACCTTTGGTCACGACAATGGCTGTGCCTTGGGATGGATTCTAAGAAGAGTCGAGGCAGACTATGGGCACAGTACCAAGTGAGAATAAAGCACCTTTCTGAAATCTAATTCTCAAACACAAAAAAGGGA